AGCACCTTTCAAAAGTAGAAGTACAGAAGGAATTCTCTGCACTGGTCTAACAAGCAAATCATGTAAATGATTCCTCTGGCATTCGCCACGACTTTCGGCAGCCTTAAAGAAAAAGAAAAAAAATAAAAACCCGAGGAGCTAAGTAATGCTTTTTAACTTATTTGTAAATTTGAGCTTCATAACTACTGTTTGAAGGTGGTTAAATGTATCAACCTCAAATTTTGCAACCTTGTCAAATAAAATAAATAAAAATGAAAGCACATTTTTTTAATCAATCCAAGAAAATGCCAGAAATGAATATAAAAACCTTCAGAAAAGCATGAAACTTTGGCTTTGTTCTGTCGCAATGATCCAAAGTTTGACACGCCGTGTCATAACTGTTGATAAACCCTTTATATACTGGATCCAACTGTTTTGCACTATCAAGCCAAATCTGAAAAACGACGAGAACTTGACAGAGGGTTAGGTCGCCACAAAGGTGACTGAGAGGGGTTTTAATCACCTAGTGAGTAGGCCTAATTCCCTTAAAATTCTTAAAACTTTTTTAACCACAGACAGTTTTACTAGTATATTTGAACATTATTTTGTAAAGCTAATCCCTTAAATAAAAAAATTTTTGAGCAGTAACCTTCCCAATTAAACGATCTGCCGACCAGTGCATTACACATGCTCGTAATTCACTACATATTTTCTCATGTACTTCTATTAGTGGAGGAACTCTCGAAAAAATTTGCGTTATTTCAGCCTTCGACAACAACCCCGATTCAGGTTGCGAAGTGTGTTCCTCGAGTGGTCCTTTGAACAACTAAAGTCAGAAATTACTTTTGGGTATTAATGGACGATAGTTAATATAAAATCTCATGCATTAAGATTCCGGTTGTAATCACGTTAGAAGAAAATTCCTGGGCCATCCTCCTCAAGCAAAAACTACATAAATAGCGGGATAAAAAACGAAATTAAATGTAGAAACATCATCAAGAGGTTTTTATGTCCACTTCTAACTGTAACATACCTGGACGATTATTTTTAATGCTTTCAAATAGTTCTCCTCCGTTTCAAGCATTTCCTTACTTATGGCATGTCGTTTATCAATTTTTTTAGGTGAAGTAGCGAGCTTATCGTTTGACGAAAAATGATGTTCGGAATAATCTAAAAGTTTGTACTTGAAAGTGATGTTACGGGGGAAAAGAGAAAGAATTTTACCTGGAAGAGCCGATGAATTGCTACTTTCAAGGATTTCCATAGACGACCTAGAACAAATTAACACAAAATTAAAAAACTAAAACGAACTACCCACTGATAACTGAACAAGTAGTAATAAACAATTAAATCACAGTCCTCAAACTTTACTTTGATAGTGACCTCCTAGATGCCACAACTTGGTCCTTCGCTCCACTGGGAGACATTGGGATGCGTTTCTTATTGGAACGTCGTATTCCTTTCCACTGGTACAGGTCTTCGTTAGCGCAACAGTTTAACTGAATCGAAATCCAGAACCACTATAATAACAGTTACAAAGGTCATCCGTTTTTCTTAAAAACCATCGTATAACTCCACTTCAACAAATATACATATGCTTCCAGACCACTAAGTTAAAAGTTCTTATAAAGAGGATAAAATTAAAAAGATCATAAAAACCGGTAAACACGAGTGCGCAACTAAAATGTGAATTTGTTATATATTTTAGCTCATCGCTAAACCAGCAAGTTACGGTATAATACAACACCCTCGTAACAATTAGCCGCCAACACAAAATAATCATGATATTCGTAAGCTGTCTAGAACCTATCAGGCGAATGCGAAAAAACAAGACTACTGATAAAATTTCATCGTACTTCGGCTGTAACAAAGTGCTGAGTTTTCTTTTCATTATCTTCTAAGAGTTCCTCCACGGTGTTTGCCAAAACAACATGAGAAGCCTCTTCCAGGGATCTCGCATTGCAGCCTTCTAAAATGATTCACCACCATTAGCAGCAGCATTAACAAAAACCTCTTAAAGCGAGAGGATCAAACTAACTATGATCAGTAACTTTCGCTCGCATATCATCTTCTTCATCTGTGGGAAAGCCAGTAAACCATATTGAAAGACCACAGAATGGCTCTACCAAGAACGGCGATATCTAAAAAGTTGAAACTGCAGGAAAGTCTCACAAAAGGAACAAATTTTATATTAAAATACTTACAAATTCATGAGAAGTAACGGATACTGATATATCATTTCGAACAGCCCAAGCAGCCGAAACCCAATCAGAATGTACTGCCTTTGTACCGGTTGAAACTGCCATCTTAAAGTATTTTACATCAAAAATACTACTTTACAGACAATAAAGAAATTGAGCACAAATTACAATGCCAAAAGACACTAACGTTTTGAACTCCTAAACCTATTCAAGCGAAAGTGTGAAAGTCGACAATTTAACAACAATGCGATCTGAAAATTACTCTATAGCTTTCGCCTGTTGCAACTTCAGTAATAAGATGCGTTGCTGAAGATGGGAATCCTTTCCTTGCACTTCCGCCCATGTGGTGAATAAGATCGACTGCGTACCGGCATTTCGCGTTAGATATTCCAGAAAAAACTACGCATACGTTTCCCATACTCTCATTATACAGAGCCCTATTAGGTCGAGGCATAGTCAGCGGCTAAGAAATATTAAATTAAAAAACTGATGTTTCAAAATTTGTTCACATCCAACAACATTCAAATTCATAAACAGGCACCTTATGTTGAGAAGCTCTATGTCGAATAAGCGGAGGCCCAACAATTGATTTCTTTAAAGAATTTAAGTACCTAAACGAGTAATTATCAAAATCCGGACAAACGAACAGTATATCTGTCTCATCCTTGAATTCAGATCCATCTTCACTTTCGAGCACTGTGACGCGAAAATGATCCTGAATTTTCTTGATCAGTAATAAAAATGATATTGGGTTATTCATAATTACTATTTCAAACGTTGAAAAGCGAAAAATTTAAAATATTGAAGGGTCAAAAGATTAGGCAGAAATATTAAAAAATTACTGCTGAAAGTAGATTAAAAAGTTTGTCCAGAAAACTAACTTTTAACAACGCTATGATTGCTAGATCTTCATTCGCTTTACCAATCAAACAAACCCTAGTAACCTTGCGTTTGAATGAAGCAGAACGGGCAGCGCGTGTAGTATCAAAAACTAAACAGATGACAACTTCGTAAACAATTAAAGTGTTAAAAAATATGACCCCACTCAGTAAAGCAAATATTTAAAAAATGTAAAGTATAAAACAAATCAAACTTTCTAAAGCAGTAGTGTCGGCGAAATCACTGGGCGGTAGGCTCGCATCGCCGGCCATGCCAACAAAGAAGCCTTCACAGACAGTTCAGCAAGAACAGTACAGCTTTTCCTGAACAAATTTACAAGAATTAAAAACTATTTGAAAACCATCAACAGAGCACAGCTTGGGAGAAACCATTCTCGATATACATTCTATAAATTTTTTCATTTCAAAAAAAAAAAAAAAAAAAAAAAAAAAAAA